TCTCAGAACACCCCACAAGACCTGCCATTTTGGGAGATTCTCTGACCTAGTCTAGTAGTTTCATTAACTGCAGGTAGTAGTTCTGCTTCCTAAATATTCCAACCAATGGATACAAAAAGGGTTTTCTTAATCAATGTAATGATATCTACCTGAAGATGTAGGCTATGGAGAATAATACAGAAGTTGGATGGTCTCTCTAACTGAGGTTAAGGCTTTTTTAACCCTTTCATGACCAAAAATAAAAAAAATGTATTTACACTATATATTTGCAATACATTTTTTACTTTAATTTTCCATACATTTTTCTAGCTTTTTACTACGGGAATGATTTTAACCCTTGAGAGAAATACATTTCTCTGCTAGAACTTTATTTAGTACATGTGGATCTCGGAAGATGGGCTCTATATGACAGAAAGGGAACGCCTGTCTGGATGGCACGTGACAGTACCCCCCCATTAAGAACACCCTCCTGGCATGAACAAGTTCTTCATAGAGGTAGTATTTCTCACTGTTGGAGTCCACATTCATAGAATAACATCCCTTGATATCAGAGTGCCCAGAGAGGGGTTCCTTCACAGTTAGGAGCCCACAGTACCAGCTTCTGGTACCGCTGGAGAGTTGTCATGGTCTTTGAGGATCTGGGTGCAAGTGGTAAGTATTTTGATTCCAGAAGGCACATCCTCTGAACTTTTCTCCTTAGGTACATCAACAGGAATGGAGTTTGCGGCTTGCAATGCCTTTTCAAATGTTTCCAAATCCTTTATGCGGACTTTAGTAGCACTAGAGGCACAGGTACAATCTGAAGGTAGCTCTTTAAACAGACAGGAAGTGGTGATGGTACCGGTTTTAACATGAGTGTCTTCAGATGGAGGTGCAGACATTTCTGGAGCAAGAAATGGAGAATTTCTCAGGGAGGTCAAGCATGGACAGGCATGTTGGCATCTTTGAGGGTTCACAGGCTGGCATGCAGAGCTCATAGGATGGAGGCCTAGGTGGGTGAACAGGGCAATGAGAGATGAAGTGACCCCTTTCTCCACAGTAAAAACAATGGCCATGGCTTCTCCTCTGGTCTCTTTCTTCAGGAGTCACTTTGAGCTAGACTAGTTCTATTTCCATAGGTTCTTCAGAGTCAAGAGGAACATAGGATACCTCTGGAGTCTTCCTAGGAACAGGATCATAAGGAGGCAACAAGAAGGTGTGGTGTTGGTACTGGTTCTCCCTGTTTCTGGGAAACTTTATATACTCTGGAACGTGGAGCAGTAGATTTTCTAGAAGTCGTGCACTGCGAGTCCATTGCAGTCATGAAGGACCCACAGCTGTCGAGGACAGGACTCTTAGCTTGCAACATCTGGTGTGCCCATGTTCTGACCCATCCAGACAGGAGGTTGATAGCTGCTCTGACCATTATGAAGACAGTAACATAAGTCCGAGGCTTCAATTGACAGTCCACCTTAAAGTGCTGGAAGGATGTATGGCTACCATCAAATTTCTCAGGCATAAGGACGAACTGCTCAGGATAAGCAGGTTCTGGGGCTGGGCATACTGTTCCTTTAAAGGACCACTATAGTGCCAGGAAAACATACTCGTTTTCTTGGCACTATAGTGCCCTGAGGGTGCCCCCACCCTCAGGGTCCTCCTCCCGCCGGGCTGGATGGAGAGGAAGGGGTTAAACACTTACCTTTCTCCAGCGCCGGGCGGGGAACTCTACTCCTCCTCTCCTCCCTCTTCTTCTCCTCTTTGGCTGAATGTGCATGCGTGGCAGGAGCTGCGCGCGCATTCAGCCAGTCCATAGGAAAGCATTCTCAATGCTTTCTTATGGACGCAGGCGTCTTCTCACTGTGATTTTCACAGTGAGAAACGCGGAAGCCCTCTAGCGGCTGTCAATGAGACAGCCACTAGAGGCTGGATTAACCCTAACATAAACATAGCAGTTTCTCTGAAACTGCTATGTTTATAAAAAAAAAGGGTTAACCCTAGCTGGACCTGGCACCCAGACCACCTCATTAAGCTGAAGTGGTCTGGGTGCCTATAGTGGTCCTTTAAGAAATTAAACATCTCGCTGCAGCTCCAAAACAGTCTTTGCCAGGCTAGACACTTGCTTACACAGCTTACACACCTCTGCGGACTTCAAGATGGTCAGTTCGTTATGTCATGGCTTAACTTAGTTGGGAGTCTGGAAGGCAGAGATTTGTGCTCACCCTTGCAGATAAACGCAGCCCACAGTAACCAGATCAGAAGCTACCTGGGCTGTGAATCAGTGCGCGGGGCTTAGGCAGGAACAGTAACCGGGTATGAGGAAACAGACAAGGGCAAATCCAGAAGAGTAGTCAGACGCGGTTCCAAAAGTCGTGGCAGGCAGCGAACAAGATATAATGAATAATCCAAACAGAAAAGGGCAAAAGCCAAGTCAGTCTTAGGAAACAGGATACAAGAAACAAGCAACAACGAACTGACAATGTTCTCAAGGAAGGGCAGTGTTTTATGCCCAGCTAATGAGTGAACTGCCTCAGGTGAACTTAGATGGACAGGTAGGAGCCACTGGTGATGTCCAGCCCCCTAGTGCTGCAGGCAATGCCAGGAAAACAAGGTTAGAGCCAAAGTTCAGAAGTGGCTCAGAGGCAGGAACTAAGGCTTAGAATGCAGAATGCCCCAGGCTCAGATCCTCTGTTGGGCCCTCCTGGGGTGACCACACCTTGCTGTCTGGATAGCACGGTAAGAATTGTGACAAAATGCCAATTGGTATGTATCTTTCATTGGTCTGTTTCAGGTGACCACTCCCCCTTTAAATGTTGTAGTTATGGTGGAGCTGCTTTTTTTTCCCGTTCCTTATTTTAAGGAAATTGGTATATTGACAAAGTAAGCGATCTTATATCTCTTGATCAGAGCACACTCCAAACTCAGCTTGTTATATACTGCATAGTGTCTACAATTTTGTATCTCCTAAATATTTCTCTATAGAATGAACATAGGAATTAAAAATTAAATAATACAATTTTTATTTTTATGTTTCTCTAAACAGCAATATATGCACAATGTATTATATATCCTTTATTTATGAGCTAGCTTTGCATCCTACGTTTTACACACACACGCACACACACACACACACACACTTTAATATTTTTATTTTAAAATAAAAATTGCTTGGTAATAAATGAGTCAATAGTTGCACACATTTCTTCCTACAGATGCAATGCTTACATTTACTAACATAAGTGAAGATAATACTATATACCTTTTTTATCATTTATTGTTTAGAGTTAGTGGTTATCCATATTACAAAAACATCCATATTGATTCCTTTTAATACAAAATTCTGGGCTACTGAGAATTTTATGATTAATGTTGACAAGGTGGCTGTAAGTTAATGGGCCACATGTAAGCATTCAAAATAAACCGTTTATAAAAATTCTATCCACGGCCATTTAAGTACTAGGATTATACCAACAATCCAAAAATCCCTTGTCTTGTTTTGTTGTTTGCAATTCCAAACAAAAAAACAGCTTGCTGTGGTCAGTTCCCAAGAGTGTCAAAAACAGTCTGGAAAATGGGTAATGAAAATGTTATGCACATAGGTTAAATAAGCGAGTACAACATTTTACAGTTGTGAAATCAGTCAAATTGTTAGACATTTGCTAGTGAATGGCTTTCATTTGATGATTAATCCGCAAATGCCACTGCAGCTCAATCCAATATGCAAGCAAATTGGCAGTCATTTCAACTTAAAAACTGCCTTCATTTTAAATGTAGGTCATATGTTTTGTCAAGATATAAAGGAGCTCTGTCTATGCAAAAAGTGCTATTGGTGTTCTATTGTTTATGTATCTATAAAATATTCCTACAGTGTAGCAGACATCAGTATAGGACTACATATCATGTTTAGTTAAATGATGCTATATCTTTCAATATGAGTTGTGTATGATGCAGTACTGTACTTCATTAGGTTATAAGGATCACTGTAGGGTCAGGAACATAAACATGTATTCCTGACCCTATAGTGTTAAAACCACCATCTAGCCCCCTGGGCCTCTCATGCCTCCATAAATATAGCAAAATCTTACTGTATTCAAGCCTGAAGCTGTAACTCTGCATGCTGTTTGACTCAGAAAAACAAGCAGTCTGCTGACATCATCAGAAGTGATATCCTGATCCATTCATAGTGCTTCTCCATAGGATTGGCTGAGACTGACAAAGAGGCAGATCAGGGGAGCATAACATCAGATACTGCTGGGGGTATCCTGCCAAGCTGCTTATCATGAAAAATGGGACACTCACGATCCTACACTCACCAGAAGAAGGCATCAAATCTCTCCAAGCCTGTCTACCTTGAAGATACTGCCTGCCTCACCTACCAAGCTCACGCAAGAATGGGAGATTGCAAAGGTGGAGTGGAGACACAGGGAAAACCCAGACCCACTGTGAACTTTTCAGGTTGCCGACTTACGCAAGTATTGCAACCCTAGCGAAACATGTAGTATAGGCAGGGATGGGGGAACAATGGTCTGGTGATAGCCACTCTACAGACTTCAGGCAGATAACCCAGACACATGGAACTACAAAAGATGTTCGCACATAGCATCCACTAAGTCACAGAACGGGGCTGGTTACATTGCCACCCACAACACCTACCAACTCACCAAATGTTATGTTTGATATGTTTTAATGTTCAATGTTATTGATTTATTTTATAGACTATTGTTATGTCTTGCAAGTGGTCACCCACACTGAGGTTTAGCTACCATCACCACCTAGACTGCATTCCACCTCGAGCCCAGATAGCCACGCAAACCGTATACAAGATACGGACAACCCCATGGTGCACGCCATAGGCACCGTTCCTCCATGGTGGGGCAACTTGTATAGATTAATCCTCACCACTGCCGGGATGTTAGATGACCCAACCCTCCCACCCCAATCCCCAAGTTCTTTCCCCCTACCTATGGAGAGCTTAGGAACACGACCCTATCAACCGATTCCAACAATAGGCCTCAAACAAACAAATGTCTAGTTCCTCTCTGGCTGAAAACTCCAAGCGCAACATGAACATGGCTTTGACATACCACTCCCCTATATCAGCAAGCCCTCATATGAAAATTTACTCCCAGAACGCTAGGGGTCTCAACAGCCCTGATAAACAACGCAAATTACTAGAAGATCTTAAAAGAGCTTCCGCAGACATTGTCTGCCTACAAGAAACACATTTTGTTAAACTCAGAGTCCCCCAATTTGGCACCAGGGAATACCCAATGCAATTTCATGCGGCACACACCTTTAAGGTCAGAGGCGTCTCCATACTCATCCACAAATCACTGTCGTTTGAATTACTCAAACTCATAACCGATAGCCAAGGTAGATACCTTATGATTTTGTGCACAATCAATGACATCACCTATACAATAGTGAACGTATACAGTCCTAACTCCCAACAAAGAAATTTCCTACACAAAGTTTTATCCAAGATGAACCCCATTAGAACAGACCTCACGATGATATGCAGAGACCTTAATCACACTCTAGACCATAAATTAGACACGTCCTTGCACATATCAGCTTCTAGACACCTCCATCTTAAACCACAATGCCAATCCATGACCAAGCTAGTACTTGAGTTTGGACTGTATGATACCTGGAGGGCACTACACCCATCTGACCACTCCTATACTCACTACTCACAGGCACATAAAACGCCTGGCAAAGCATGGTAGAATAGACCACATTCTGACCACAGGCCCCCTCCTGAAGAAAGTGACCCACAGTGAGATCAGCGACATTGTATGATCAGATCATGCGCCAAATCTCCTAACCATAACCTTCGCCCCCTGGAGACTCAATGAATCATTACTGAGAGAAGGAACATTCCGTACTGAAACACACATGGCAGTTACCGAATACTTTACAAATAACGACAATAAAGGGACGTCCCCCCTGATGGTATGGTAAGCACACAAAGAACAGGTGACGTTACTACGTGACCTCAGAGATGCCACAGCACAACACTACATCCAACCTAATGACGCCCTAATAACAACTATTACCGACCTTACCAAACAACTCAATGACATGGCCATGGCTAAAACAACATACCTAATGCAAAGACTGAAAATACGCGAATATCACCAGAATAACAAAACAGGCAAACTACTAGCTACGAAACTACGACTCAAGCAAGGACACACAAAGATCCCCTACATAATGGACAATGCAGGGAACAAACTATATAAACCCCAGGACATAGCAGATGAATTGGCAAAATACTACACAAAATTATACAAGCTGAAAGAGGATACCCATACGTACCAACCCACAAAAACAGACATAGATGACTTTTTAGCTAAAATCACAATGACAACTCTCACAGAGACCCACATAGACGTACTCCAGGCCCCCATAACAGAACAGGAGATAGTTCAAACTATACTGGCACTCCCCCCTGGGAAGTCGCCAGGACCAGATGGACTCCCAAACATATATTACAAAACATACGCACATACACTTGCCCCACAACTCTTAAAAACCTTCACAGTAATGAGCTCAAAAAGGAATACACCCGCAGAGATGCTCATGGCACATGTCACAACCCTCCCCAAACAGGGGGAAATCCCAAACAAAGGGGAAAACCTGCGCCCAATCTCCCTAAACACGGATGTAAAAATATTCTCAAAGATATATGCGAATCGACTATCCACTGATCCAATGATCATACATGATGACCAGGTCAGGTTTGTGCGGGGTCGACAGGGTAGTGATTGAACGCGCAAGGTGCTCAACTTAATGAAGACATTGCGAGGGAGGAGCGGTGTATTCCTCTCAGTTGATGCTGAAAAAGCATTTGACAGGCTGCACTGGCCCTTCCTCTTAGCAGTACTACAAAAATATGGCTTCTCAGAGGAGTTTATATCAGCAGTCCAGGCGCTATACAGCAACCCGACAAATAAGGTGGCGGGAGGGGGATTCACATCTGCCCCATTCCACATATCTAATGGATCCGGGCAGGGTTGCCCCCTCTCCCATCTATTATATGTGCTTGCCCTGGAACCGCTCACAACACTAATTAGGAACAACCCCGATATTCACGGAATACGTATCAAAAACAATGAATATAAACTAACATTATTCGCCGATGATGTTCTCCTTACACTCACACAACCGCAAGATTCCTTTCCAACTTTTTTAAATATCCTGCAGGAGTACTGTAGATGTTCCTATTGTAATGGCACCCCCAGGCATAAAAGGGTTAAACCGCCGTTTAGAAGATCTTCCCCTTCCAGAGATACAGGCACAGCTACTGCAGAACACCAAACTGCCGAACTGCATACAAGGGAATGCTCCAAACTCCCGAACTGCATACAAAGTAGCACTCCAAACTCCCGAACTGGAACCTCACGAATAGCTGCTAGCAGATGAACAGGAAAAGCATCCAAGTGGCTTACACTCCTGGCAATCAGTCTCTAACAGCATACAGTAAATCCCCCCAAAGACGAGACAGAGCTCCGTGTTGAGGGTCAAGCAGTGGTCTGGTTTATTGAGAGCTACCTGCCCAGTATTTATGCAGGTCTCCAAGCTGGTGGACACTCCCCTAGGGGACCAAATGGGACACTGTGACAAATAACAGACATGAACCAATGACAGACACACAAAGGTAAAACATCCCCACAATGCATCCTAATTTCCCTCCCTCTGTCCTGGAGATAATTGGGAAGTAATCCAATTATCTCACAGGACAGAGGCAAAACTCCATTAACCACATGGCAGTAAAAGACAATAAAAGACATAAAAATTTATAAAATTACAACTGTTTCACAAAACATATACATTCTACCTACCCCCAGATAGCTTAGATCTGAGCGCACATTATTACCGGATGGCGCTCAGATCACATACATACAGTTCAATCGCCATGGAGCCAAAGTCTTTCCCATAGTCTTTCATTACACGAATAGGCTCCATGGCATGGCTATCTGGGGTAATGCTGTTCATACGGTTAAACTACCGAATGAACAGGCATCCGGTTAAATAACCGAATGCAGAAGCAAGAAGGCTTTTTAACATGGAGCCATAGTATAAGGGCAACAGGCGAGCAACCAGGCTTCTCCAGTGCTTCGTGGTGAGGTTGGTTTCGCCACACCTATTATAAACTCAATATGAATAAAACACAAGCTATGGGAATCAATATGTCACAAAAAGAGCTATTAGGCTTGCAGTCCCAGCATAGCTTTGCCTGGACATCCGACACCCTTACAGTCCTGGGAGTAGCCTTCACACCTAGCAAACCAGGTATATACAGAGCAAACTACCTAAGTTGCTGAAGGAAGTAAAAGCAATGCTTGACAGTTGGCACAAAAAGTATGTCTCATGGACAGGCAGGCTGGCAGCCATAAAAATGGTCATCGTCCCTAAATTTCAGTATCTCTTCCGCACGCTGCCTATACTCCTGCCTAACACTTATTTCAAGGAAGCGCAGCTGATACTTAACAAATTCATATGGGCACACAAAGTACCTAGAGTTAGAGCGCAGATATTATACCAAAAAAACTGCTGATGGAGAGATGAATGCACCAAACATACATTTCTACTACCAGGCCGCCATCACAAATAGCATAATACCAATCCTCACTCACGGGAAAACACTGCAGTGGGTGAAGATAGAACAAGACATAATGCACCCACACACAATCCTATCCATAATGTGGTCCCCTAAACATGTCAGACCTAAGAAAGTGCTAATGCTACCAGCCACAGAAACAACAATCCACGTATGGGACAGGAACAAACACAAATGTTGTTCAGACATCCCGTCCATGCCGACTTTGGCTTTAGGCTCACTAATACCTGACCTAAATTACAGAATCTGGGAGCGACACAGGATCTATTCCCTATATCAGTTCTACCAAGGTACTCGCTTATTGACATTCCCGGAAATGCAACAGTAATACAGCCTCCCAACAGTAGCTCAATTCTCATACTTACAAATTACATCATGGTTAAAACAACATTGCGTGACAGAAGATGATAATGTAAATGAGCATCGGCTGACGAGCTTCGAGCGAACCTTACTTCAACTAACGCCAGCACACAAAACGTTCACCATGCTGTATTCAAGTATACTAACACACAAATTAAATATCAGGTACCCCTTCGCGGAAGCATGGAAAAAAGACCTCGGTCAGTCATTCCCAGACAAAAACTGGCGGAAGATATTTAGCACCCCAAAACAACTAACTCTTAGCGCAAACCATACCGAATTATCACAGAAAATCTTATACCGATGGTATTTGGTGCCCACGCACCTTAAACAAATATATCTGGAAGTATCAAATAAATGCTGGAGATGCACAGTGGAGGCAGGCTCCATAATCCACATCTGGTGGACCTGCAAACTAATATTGCCATACTGGACAGCAATAGCCTTGCTTATCCATAGTAGCACAGGAATCACCCTACCTAAAACACCAGATTGTCTGTTATTACATAACTACCCACCAAAATTAACCAAAGCAACAAAATATCTGATCTACCAGATTAACATAGCAGCTTTAGCCATGATAAGCAAATCATGGAACAAAATGGAGGCACCTACCTTGACACAGTGCTTAGACCTAATTGAATCAACCAAATTTTATGAATCCTCATGAAGAGCAGCTCTGTCAACTAAGGCGACTTTTCGGAGTAAAGCCTGGCAGCAGTGGGACACTCTCAGAGGCCATGGCCCAACAACCACAAGGATTGAATCTGCTTTAAAGTCTCGCCAGCCAAGCTCATAAAACCAGACCTAGCTCATGCCAGAATAACAGTACGACAAATATAAAATGTATGATAAATGTAAGATACTGAGATAGGTAGCACCAGGTCAATAACCACACCAACTACTCATACCAAAGAGGGCGGCGATTGCCCCAGACGGCTCAAGCCAAATCACTCACACAGCCGGAATACATAGAAACCCAAACCTGGCTCTCTCTACCTATGCCCCCAATTCCCTCATTCACCAACCTTCCCCAGTTAACTCATAAAAATGAAAATTTGTTCATAATAGTACAAAATACTGGTTGTATATATCACAGCTTAACCAAGTTACTTCTCTTCTGTACAAATCTGCATAATGCATAGCATGTCATATGAATGTACTTTGTGAATTTGAAAACTATTTAATGAAAAAAAAATACATGAGATTTTTTATAGGGTTCAAGTCATGACTGTGATGGTCGCTGTATAATTTTCCAGGACTACTTCTGCAACAATGCCTTGGTGGAATTTGAGGTATGCTTGGGATCATTGTCCATTGATACCCAAGCTTCAGCTTCCTCAAAGACGCATGACATTTTCTCCTAGGATTCCTGATACTTCAATGAACCAATTTTACCTTCTACATGCTGCAAGTTTCCAGTGCCAGAGGAGGCAAAGCAGCCCCAGAGCATCACTGAGCCACCACAATGCTTAACTGTGGGCAGAGTGTTCTTTTAAGCCTATGTTTCATTCTTTTATGAGACATACCGCTGATCCATTGGCCCCAAATAGTTCCAGTTTTGTTTCATCGGTCCACAGAACAGAATCCCAAAACTTTTGTGGCTTATTATTATGATTTTGAGCATATTGGAGCCAACTTTTCTTGTGCTTTGGGTCAGTAGTGGTGTATGTCTTGAAGTTCTGGCATGGAAACCTTCTGTGTTTAGAATGCATCTTACTGTGCTCACTGAAACCTCAGTGC